GTGCATTTTACACTGATAGTACATCTCAATTCTGACTGGTCGCCTTTCATTTGCTCAACAGCTTGGCGAAGCTGGTGTGTATAATATTATACAATGTAACTATTAAGAGTGTCCATTGCTTGGGTGGTCTGGGTGGCTCAGTCTGTTAAGTATCCAGCTCTTGGTTTTGACTTGGGTCATGATCTAGTGGGGGGATGGGATTGAGCTCTGAGTCAGGGTCTACGCTGAGAGTGGGTTCTGCTTGAGATTCTCTCTCTCTCTTTCCCTCCCCCTCTGCTCTTCTCCCTGCTCCTGGCAGGTGCTTGCATGTTCGCTCTCTTTCTCTCCCTCTCAAAATAAATAAATAAAATCTTAAAAAAAAAAAAAAAAGAGAGTGTCTATTGCTCAAGCATACCACAATTTCTATATACATTTGATTTTTTTCATCTTAATTGAGGTATAATTAATATATAAAAACCTGCACACAATTAATGTATACTAATTAGTGAGTTGTGACATATGCAACAATTATGCTTATTACTTGGATTATGTGATGGTAACAGGAGTGTATACATTTGATTATCAATATACATTTTAGGTGGTTCCCAGTTTGAGACTATTATGAGAAATGGTTCTATCAACATTCATGACTGTCTCTTAGTGCACATATGGAATCATTAGGTTTTTCTGTGTTCAAATTCAATAGATTCTGCCAAATATGTTTCACCTAGTACTGTCAGTTCTCTATCTAATTTTATCAGTCCTGAGGTTTTCCTGGCGGTCTCTAAGCTGGAGTTCAATTTTTAATTTTCCAATGACAATGATGTTGTTCAAGAGGTAAGCTCTTTTGTGTTTTTTTAAAAAATCTTTCTTTCTTTCTTTCTTTCTTTCTCTCTTTCTTTCTTTACTGAGAGAGAGAGAGCGCGCACACATGAGTTGGGGGAGGGGGAGAGAGAATCTTCAAGCAGACTCCTCACTGAGCAGGGAGCCCCCTCACAGGGCTTGATCTCGCCATCCTTGAGATCATGACCTGAGCCAAAACCAAGAGTCACTGAGCCACCCAAGCAAGCGCCCTAGAAGTAAGCTCTTAATGGAGGCCCTGGTTAGTACTTACTGTTACACAAGCCACCATGAACCCCCTACCTAGAGAACAATTAATTCCTGTTCATGCTTGTTGAATGACTAAAATGAACCACATTCAAATTGCTCAATAAGAGAAGTTTTTCTGTAAGATTCTATCACTAATTCTTGAGCTTTCCTGTTGAAAAAGGAATAGTATGTGGTGGTAGGTGGGGGATTATTGAATATTTTGCTTTGTTGAGTGCTTTTCACTCCCCCCCCCGTTTACCTTTCTGTAGAAGTGATAGTCAAAAGATGTAAAAACATGTATGGCCAGACCATCAACTAATCAGAAAGAATTCTGGCCCTAAAGCAAGAGCAGGGTCCTTCTGACACCCATCATCCCAGCAGAATAGGGTCAGGTATTAACTCTTTGGGTGTTGGATCTTAGGATGGGTGGGGAGGAGACTTTTCAGAAAGAGACTTGGGACACTTAGGAAGCTTAGGGACAGAAGCTAGTTACCATCCTGTATGGAACTGTTTCAGTATTTGAACACCAGGTATGGGCTTGTGGATGTCTGCTAGCTGAATAGCAGGCCCATTTGTACTTTCAACAAGTGACTCCTTTTATGACTTTAGTATTCTATATCTCAAATGCTTTTAATTTATCTGAGGAGACAAATTATATTGTTCTCAATGAATATCCTAATCATCTTTATTGGACATTTCTCGGGAGATGGGAGTGATGTATACTTGGCTTGCAAACTTTAAGCTATAAGTAGCTCTCCAAATTCTCTGATTAAGTTTAAAACATCTTTTGATCAGACTATTGTTTCATTTCTTGGAAGACAGCATTGCTTTACTGAATCCTGGCCTGACCATCACTGCAGAAAATGGGAGGCTAAAAGGAAAAAAATTTAATGAAGAGATATAATAATCAAATCTCCTGACATGTCATTTGGTATTTCATTTTGTTTCAAAGCACATTCATTGAGATCATTTACTCGATACAAAGGTAAGTGTTGTAAAACATACAAATACGAATAAGACGAAGTCCCTGACCTTCAGAGCAGGCAGAAGGCGGTATAATAGGGGAGCCTAAAGCAGGAAAATGGAAAGGAGGAGTATTCATTCAGGAGTGGTAAAAATGTGTCTGGAGTACAGAGTGGGAGGAAAAGACTACGCAGGAGACAAGTCAGAAAAGGTGGAATGTCCTTCAGGAAGCTTTCAGTTTCAAGAGACACAAACCAGCTCCAGCTCCCTCCAGCAAACTGATGTAATTGTGGTATAAGGGTGAGGCCTAAGAGGTGTAACTAGGTGGGCGGACCCTAGGGATGTGGGTTGATAACATGTGTCAATGTAAGTCCATCGATTGTAACAAATGTACCACCTTATTGCAGGATGTTGATAGTGGGGGAGGCTGTGCCTGTGTGGGGGCGGGGGATATGGAAATTCTGTACTTCCCTCTCAATTTCTGGGTGAACCTAAAACTGCTCTACAAATAAAGTCTATTCAAAAAGAAGAAGAAGAAAAGAAAAGATGGCGGGACTGCTGTTAGCAGACAGCCATTTGAATGGAGACATGAACTTAAATATTTTACATTTAAAGGAGTAAAATGTTCCCTGCTGACCTAATGGAGGCCTGAGAGCCTGCCCAGCTAAGATTGTTCTCAGCCTTTGACTTTTCATCGCTCTTCTGGGATCACCCCCTTGGTTTGGCGCTGAGGATGTGTATTAGTGATAGTGAATAAATCCAGACATTCTGCAAATGTGACTTTTTAATGCATTTTATGTGCCAGACCCCGTGCTTAACGCACAGCGGTTAAACAATGACAATGCACAGGCTCTTGCCCTGAAACTTTAAAGAACCGTGGAGGTTTTCTCCAAGGGTAGTCCACTGATCACCTACATTGAAAGCACTTTGAGGCAGTTGTGCAAATCACAAAATTCAGGACCCTGTTATAGACCTTCAGAATAAAAATCTGTGGATATGTGACCCACGAATTTGCATTTTTAACAGGTATCTGAGAACCTTGACACTCAAAATATGGCATCACCTGGGAGCGCCTTAGAGGGGCAGAGAACCCTATCACAGATGACCTGAATCAGAATCTGCATTTTAACAGCCTCCTCATATATTAACGTTTGGGTTTGAGAAGCACTTTTCTGGAAGATTGTTATATACTGAAGTATATGGGTGACTTTGTAACAATGTGATGAGTGCATTCACAAAGGAACATGTGAGTTCCTCTGGATGTCCATAAAAGGAACAGGTTTCCCTGTCAGAGATTTCCAGGAGACGTGTGATAGCAACCACTTTTTAAAGAGCAAGGAGTTAGGCTAACGTGATGGGACCACGGTGAGAGGTCTCATCAGAGGAAACCACTGTACAAAACTCCTGAGGCAAAGAGAACGCTGCTTTGTTTAGGAAAGAAGAAGTGTACCTCAAATTGGAGTGTCTTGGTTTTGTTTTTGTTTTTAACTTACTTAAACTCTGAACATCAATGGAAGGAGATATTTTGTAAAAATTTCATGGTTGGGGCAACTGGGGGCTCAGTCCGTTGAGCAGCCTGCTCTCGATTTTGGCTCAGGTCATGATGTCAAAGTCCTGGAATTAGCATTCCCCCCCACCCCCAAGGGCTCTGCGCTCAGCTGGAGAGTCTGCTTGAGGATTCTCTCTTCCTCTCCCTCTGATTCTCCCCCTACTTGCACTCACAAGGGTACAATCTCTCTCTCAAAATTAATAAATTTTAAGAAAAAAAAATTTTTTTTTTACTTTTTAAAGATTTTTATTTATTTACTCGATAGAGAGAGAGAAGGAGCAGGAGAAGCAGGCTCCTTACTGAGCAGGGAGCCCCAGGAAGTGGGCTCTACCCCAGGACCTGAGCTGAAGGCAAGTGCTTAACTGACTCAGCCACCCAGGTGCCCCAAGAAAAATTCTATGGTCAAAGATTTTTTTCATCAATGTTTAAGGGAAGGGGGCTGGGATCAGATTTTCCAGTTCTTTCATAAAGCTGCTTTCTCTAGCCTCCTTGGACAACTTTTTGTTTGTTTCTTTGTTTGACAGCCTTTTCTTCACTCATTCATTTGAATGGTGCTGTGCGCCTGGTGTGAGAAAAGAAACAGTTCCTGCCCTCACGGAGTTTATAGGAGAGGCGGGGTAGGGGTGGAGGAGCCAATAAAATACGAAAATAAACGCATAATTATAAATTGAGGAAATGGTTAGGAGGTGTGCTGTGATAGGAAATAGAGCGGGAAAACTTCAAGAAAAAGCTTATCCAGCTAGACCAGCAGATCTTGAAAGTGACCCAAATCACTGTGGGTTTGGTGGGATGGGGTGTCTTACGAGCACCCAGGGGCCAGTCGGTGCGTATATGACCACAACACGCGCACACACACACACATGCACACACACACCACCCCACTCTCTTTCCTGGGAATCCGAATGGGGGTTGAAGACCAACCCCCTTTCAACCTGCTGTCTACAACATGAAAGGACAGTGAAAATGGATTTTCTCCGCACTTCCAAACCCGAAATGAGAAGCAACCTCCAGGTTGTAATAGTCCCATTTTCAGAAAGAACTTATCGGAGTAATTTTCTTAGGGAGCTGCTAAAAATGGGTCCAATCCTGCGTACGTGCCAAGTGAAATTTTCCAGTTGCAAACATCCATTTGGGCGTTGGGAGGAGCGGTGAGGAGACTCTGCGGCACCCGCCATTGTTTCCAAAATGTGTGTGATAAAAACCCGAACAGAAGGAAACAGAGATAAGGCCCGGCTGTGCGCAGTCAGGCCCTGCCTGGCGGCCGGGTCCTGGGGCAAAAAAGGACCAGTCCTTGCGCCCTGGAACCTTGTGTGTCCGGGTCTCGCTTCCCGGGTGTCTGGGGGAAGCATTTAAGAGCGGGACCGCGAGCCGCGCTTGTAAACAGACCGCCGGGCTGGGACCGTCGGCGGCCGGGCGGGCTGTCACGGTGAGGCGGGCTTGCCGAGAGGGCGAGCTCCGGCCGGGAGTAGGCTGCAGGCCCCGCAGGTGAGGGGAGAGCCCCAGCCGGCGGCCAGGTGAGCATCCTGCCTGCTTCCGTGCTGCCTGGCTGGCCAGTGGGGGAAGGGTGTGGGGATGACAATGTTGTAAGAGATACCCGAGGTGTCCCCGGGGTGGCGATGATTTTGCTGTTTCTTGCCTTCTCCGGTTTTGATTTCGTGCCGGAGACTGCGGACAAAGGGTGAGGGGAGATGGCGTGGTGCGTTGTCTGCTTATTTTTATACATCGGGTAAATAAGTAGAAAGCAGTTTGAAATAGCTGATCCCGTTCTGTGCGTTGTTTCTAGTCTCCCTGCTTCTGGGTCCTAGAAACCAAGTCTCAGCAGAGCCTTCCCTCCCATCACGCCGGGCGCCTAGAGAAACGGCAGTGGTTCCCTCTGTGGACTCCGATCATTTTTAAGGTGTAGTAAATGATACGGTGTGGCTGATGACAAGCGTGATGTGGTCTTCTATGAGAGGATAACTAAGCTACAAAGCCAGGATAGGGAAATTTCAGACCCACTCGGGAAATGAAAAAAATGTCTGCTGAGATAGATAATCGAACCGTGAACTGAGATTGGTCTAGATTTGTAGCTTGTAAAGCAGGGCAGATTTGAATTTAACAGGTTAAAATGAGATTGAGCTATGCTGTTGTAAACTTATTTGGAACTTTTTTTCCCCTTCGTTTTTCCTCCTTGGAAAAGAGAAACTCTTTTCTTTAATAATTCAATTTCAGGAGTCATAGTGAATTGCGATTTGTATTCATTCATAAGGTATTTTATTATAAGTTGACTACATGTAAGTTTTCATTGTTGTACCTATAATCAAATATAAGGCAGTTTTCATTTCATTAACTTCGAAAATGCCTTCGCCCAAAATTGGGCTATACATAGACATGTCTCCATCACATAGTCTAGCTTTTAATTAGTAGAATAGTATTAGATTAAATTGCACATAGAGAAGGGTTTTGTGGGCCCCTAGGTGGCTCAGTCGGTTAAGTGTCCGCCTTCATCTCAGGTCATGATCCCAGCCCCACACTGGGCTCCTTGCTTAGCAGGGAGCCTGCTTCTCCCTCTGCCTCTGCCACTCCCCCTGCTTGTGGTCTCTCTCTGTCAAATAAATACATAAAATCTTTTTTAAAAATTAAAAAAAGTGTTTTGAAAGCAATTACATCAAAGAAATAATATTAATGCCTTACGAGTTTGTCTTTAAAATGAGTATTTTCACAATGTAATGATTCATAGCAAGAACTATAAAGCCAGACTACCAGGATTCCATTTTCTGTATGGGAAGTTACCTGCTGTGTTTCCCAATCTGTAGAATGGGTTTAATAATAGTACTGATTTCATAGGGTTGTTATGAGGATTGAATGAATTAGTATTTTTAAAGCATTAAAAACAGCATGTGTAATAATTGCTGTATCCATGTTTGTTAATAAATACATAAGGGGCACCTGGCCAGCTCAGTTGGGAGAGCATGTGAGTCTTAATCTCCCGGTCATGAGTTCAAGCCTTATGTTGAGTGTAGAGATTACTAAAAAATAAACTCTTTCACTGATTTTTTTTAAAGATTTTATTTATTTATGTGACAGACAGAGGTCACAAGTAGGCAGAGAGGCAGGCAGAGAGAGAGGGGGAAGCAGGCTCCCTGCTGAGCAGTGAGCCAGATGATGGGCTCGATCCCAGGAGCCTAGGATCATGACCTGAGCCGAAGGCAGAGGCTTTAACCCACTGAGCCACCCAGGCGCCCCTCTTTCATTGATTTTTAAAAAATACGTGTAATAAAAATAAACCAGTGTCGAAAGTAGGATGGTGGCTGTGAAAGCTGGGGGAGGGGCAAAATGGAGAGTTTTGTTAAATGAGTATAGTTTCAGTTTTGTAAGATGAAGAGTTCTGTAAATTGGTGCACAACAGTGTGAATGTACTTATTGAACTGTACACTTGAAAATGGCAAAGATGGCAAATATGTAGATATTTTTCCACAATTAAAAAAATCAGTGTGGCAAAGTTAGGTATTAAAAATTATTCTTTTTAGAAGGGGGAGGGGCACAAGAGGGAGAGAATCTTTTTTTAATTTTTTAAAAAAATATTTTATTTATTCATTTGACAGAGAGAAAATGCACAAGCCTGGGGGAGGGGCACAGGAAGAGGAAGAAGCAGACTCCAGGCTAAACTCCAGGTATCCTGATGCAGGGCTTGACCCCAGGATCCCGGGATCACGATCTGAGCCAAAGGCAGATGCTTAACTGACTGAGCCATCTAGGTGCCCAGGGAGGGAGGGAATCTTAAGTGGGCTTCATGCCCAGTGCAATATGGGGCTCAGTCTCACAACCCTGAAATCATGACTTGAGACAAAATCAAGGCTTAACTGACTGAGCCATTCAGATGCCCCTCAAAATTCTTATTAGCATAGAGTAGCCCCATCCGGTTAACTTTGCCATTGTGCAAATGCAACTTCTTATAGTCATCAGGAAGATTCATTTATTTGTAAATTCATATAATTAAGATTTACCATAAAGAGCATGAACAAATGATAAGAAAGAACACCTATGATTCTATAGCAGGCAGAATTTTAAAAATGTCCCCCTACCAAGATTGCATCCCCTAATCTGCACAGCCTGTAAAGATGATGAAATATCACTCTTTTGACTATATTATGTTACAGGACACAGTTGAATTTAAAACAGGGAAAATACCTGAGTAGTCCTAATCTAATCACAGGAGCCCGTAAAAGTGGAGAGCTTTCTCTGGCTGGGGAAATCCAAACGATCTGAAGCTTGAGGAGAAACAATATATTGTTGCTGTTTTGAGGGTGAAGGTGACACTTGAGGAGGAATGGAGGAGCCTTGAAGAATGCAGGATGCCTAGAATTGCTGGGGGTGGCCTAGCATGGAAACTGGAGCCTCAGACTTGGGGGCACAACCTAGGAACTAGACTGTGCCACCAACCTGAATGAGTTTGGAACTGGATTCTTTACCAGAGCCTTTTAGATGAGAGTCCAGCCTGGCCAACAACGCCTCGATTTTGACCTCTTGAGAGAGACCCTGAACAGGGAACCTAGTCAAGCTTACCCAGACTTCTGACCTTCAGAACTGTGAAATAATAAATAGGCGTTGCTTTAAATTACTAATTTGGGGGAAATCTGTTATATTGCAGTAGAAAACTAACAGACTCCTGCAGAAAAGTAGGCAAAAGACAGGACAGACTATCCATAGAAGAGAAAATTAAGTGGCTAATAGATATATGAAAATATGTTCCCTTTTCTTTAATCAAAGAAATGAAAATTGGAACAACAGCAGGGTTCCATTTTTCCAGTGCTTAAATTTACATAGATTGTTAACCGTTTCAATTCTTCACCTTAGTTAGTGTGCAGTGGTGTAGATACTCTCAAATGCTGTGAGGGGTGAGCAAATGATATAACCTTTCTGAAAAGCTCTTTGGCTGCATGTATGAACAGCCTCACTAATGCTCCTACCCCTTGACCTAAAACTCCTAGCAGTCAATCCAAAGGAGCTTAGAAATATTTTTACAGTTAATGTTCATAAATGCTTAATGTAGCTTTGTTTTCTCATAGATTGATGGATTTTAGGCTTTAGGCGCTAGACCTAGGTTAATTATACAAGTGGAAAACCAAGAACTGTGATGGGATATGTAACCATTTGCAAAAAGAAAAGACATGTGCCTGTTCTGGCTAGCAAAACCAAGCTGGACCCAGACTGGTAACATCTGCGTTACAAAACACCCAGTGGTAATATTCATTGAATATTTATCAGATACGTGACATTCTCTGTTCCAGTTTAATCACGTATGCAGCCTTCCTATAGTACTTCAAGTGAAGCTATGCATTTACATATGTAAGAAGCTGGTAGGTAGATGGGTACTACTTTAATTACCTGTTTCAGAAGACCTGATTTTAATAGGAACCTGGGAAAGATTAAATCATTTGGGCAGATTTTTTTAGGATTCTCCATCTCTGGACAATTTTCAGGAGCAGAGATCCCTGATACGCTTTCATTTTCCACACTGGTTCCCTTTCCGGTTTTCATTTTGCTCTACTCATTCACACGTACGAGAAATGTCCGGAGAGTGTCTGTTGCTCCATTGGCATTAGCCAAATGGTGATTTTCTTCATGAGGAATGTGATTTTGTATTTGGTTCATAAGTAGCTGAACCATATTCTAGCTTAGAGCTTCTAGTGCAAGCTAAATAATTCTGAGAACTGAGTACTGAGTGACACTATGCTAAAAATGACACCAGTAGTAAATTCCATGCGTTATGTTTGCTCTCCTTCATTCGCTACTGTGGACATTACTGGACAGACAATAAAAAGCCCACATAATTTACCTTCATACAATAAGGTGAGAACTGTATTTGGTCTGTGGATGTAATTAGTCTTGATGGCAGCGTGAGTTGTGAGCAAAACTAAAGTTAAAATACAGACGCCGTTGTATTGAGATGTCAGGCATGCTGTTTTCATTAACATTTTGTTTCTTTTTCATACACATTAACTATTCGAGTTACATGTTTTAAATTGGATTCTCTGATTCTATGCCATGTTCGTGAGTACTGGAGAGATTTATCCGTCTAGGTGTCTTGATTAGTGTAGCCAATGTATAATTCAGTACACACTGAAGCTGCCTGGCTCTGTGTTACCCAGTTCACTTGTGGACATTTATCTAACAGGGAAATTGCTAAATATCCACTTTACTTTGTGGCTTGTCTATATGATTATAAATGGAGGTTTTAGTCACAGAGCAGGGCACATACAGGTTAGAAAACATTAGAAAGGTAACGAGCAGTTTTTATGCTCCAGGAAACGAACTAAATGATATTTTCCCATGTATTCTTGATCCATTCGAGTCAGCACTTTAGCTTTTCCAGAACAACTTCTCTTCTATCCTCAGGGATTCATTGATTCATTGACAAGAGCTGAGCAGTTCTTCAGTACAGTGACACATAGCTCTTGTACTCAGAGCCAAGAGTACAACTTTGAATAAAACAGGCGTAGTCTTTGCCTTCATGAAACTTACGGTCTAGTGG